TAACATCACAAAAGAACTAGAGAAGCAAGAGCGAACAATTCAAAAGCTAGCAGAAGACAAGAAATAACTAAGATCAGAGCAGAACTGAACGAAATAGAGATACAAAAGACCCTTCAAAAAAAATCAATGAATCCAGGAGCTGGTTTTTTTTAAAAGATCAGCAAAACAGACAGACTGCTAGAGAGACTAATGAAGAAAAGAGGCTGGGCACAGTGGATCACACCTGCAATCCCAGCATTTTGGGAGACTGAAGTGGGTGGAGCATGAGGTCAGGAGTTTGAGACCACCCTGGCTAGATGGTGAAACCCTGTCTCTACTAAAAATACACACACAAAAACGCTAGCCAGGTGCAGTGATGACCACCTGTAATCCTAGCTACTCGGGAGGCCGAGGCAGGAGAGCAAGACTCCATTAAAAAAAAAAAAAAGAAGAAGAAGAAAAGAAGAATCAAAAATGATAAAGGGGATATCACCAGTGATCCCACAGAAATACAAACTACCATCAGAGAATACTATAAACAGCTCTACAGAAATAAACTTGAAAATCTAGAAGAAATGGATAAATTCCTAGACATACACACCCTCTCAAGACTAAATCAGGAAGAAGTTGAATCCCTGAACAGACCAATAAGAAGTTCTGAAATTGAGGCAGTAATTAACTAGCCTACCAACCAAAAAAGGCCCAGGACCAGACAGATTCACAGCCTAATTCTACCACAGGTACAAAGAGGAGCTGGTACCATTCCTTCTGAAACTACTGCAAACAACAGAAAAAGAGGGAATCCTCCCTAATTGATTTTATGAGACCTATGTCATCCTAATACCAAAACCTGACAGAGACACAACAAAAAATAAAAATTTCAGGCCAATATCCTTGATGAACACTGATGCAAAAATCCTCAATAAAATACTGGCAAACTGAATCCAACAGCACATCAAAAAGCTTATCCACCATGATCAAGGTGGCTTCATCCCTGGGATGCAAGGCTGGTTCAACATACGTAAATCAATAAATGTAATCCATCACATAAACTGAACCAATGACAACAAACACATGATTATCTCAATAGATGCAGAAAAGGCCTTTGATAAAATTCAACACCGCTTGATGCTAAAAACTCTCAATAAACTAGGTATTGATGGAACGAATCTCAAAATAACAAGAGCTATATATGACAAACCCACAGCCAATATCATACTAAATGGGCAAAAACTGGAAGCTTCCCTTTGAAAACTGGCACAAGACAAAGATGCCCTCTCTCACCACTCCTATTCAACAGAGTACTGGAAGTTCTGATCAGGGCAATAAGGCAAGAGAAAGAAATAAAGGGCATTCAATTAGGAAGGCAGGAAGTCAAACTGTTTCTGTTTGTAGATGACATGACTGTATATTTAGAAAGCCCAAGCTGGTAAGTAACCTCAGCAAAGCCTCAGGATACAAAATCAATGTGCAAAAAGCACAAACATTCCTGTATACCAGTAAGAGACAAACAGAGAGCCAACTCATGAGTGAACTCCCATTCACAGTTGCTACAAAGAGAATAAAATACCTAGGAATACAATTTATAAGAAATGTAAAGGACCTCTTCAAGGAGAACTATAAACCACTGCTCAAGGAAATAATAGAGGACACCAACAAATGGAAAAACATTCTATGCTCATATCATGAAAATGCCCATACTGCTCGAAGTAATTTACAGATTCAATGGTATCCCCATCAAGCTACCATTGATTTTCTTCACAGAATTAGAAAAAAACTACTTTAAATTTCATATGGAACCAAAACAGAGCTCACATAGCCAAGACAATGTGAGGTAAAAAAGAACAAAGCTGGAGGCATCACGCTACCTGACTTCAAACTATACTACAAGGCCACAGTAACCGAAACAGCATGGTACTGATGCCAAAACAGATACATAGACCGATAGAACAGAAAAGAGGCCTCAGAAATAACACCACACATCTACAACCATCTGATCTTTGACAAACCTGACAAAAATAAGCAATGGGGAAAGGATTCCCTATTTGATAAATGGTTTTGGCAAAACCGGCTGGCCATACGCAGAAAGCTGAAACTGGATCCCTTCCTTACACCTTATATAAAAAAGACCTAAAACCATAAAAACCCTAGAATACCTAGGCAATATCATTCAGGACATAGGTATGGGCAAAGACTTCATGACTAAAACACCAAAAGCAATGGCAACAAAAGCCAAAATGACAAATGGGATCTAATTAAACTAAACAGCTTCTGCACAGCAAAAGGAACTAACATCAGAGAGAACAGGCAACGTACAGAACGTGAGAAAATTTCTACTATCTATTCATCTGACAAACGGCTAATATCCAGAATCTACAAAGAACTTAAACAAATTTACAAGAAAAAAACAAGCAATCCCATCAAAAAGTGGGCGAAGGATATGAACAGACACTTCTCAAAAGAAGACATATATGCAGCCAACAAATACATGAAAAAAGACTTATCATCAATGGTCATTAGAGAAATGCAAATCAAACCCACATTGAGATACCATCTCATGCCAGTTAGAATGGCGATCACTAAAAAGTCAGGAAACAACAGATGCTAGAGAGGATGTGGAGAAATAAGAATGCTTTTACACTGTTGGTGAGAGTGTAAATTAGTTCAACTACTGTGGAAGACAGTGTGGTGATTCCTCAAGAACGTAGCAACAGAAATACCATTTGACGCAGCAATCCCATTACTTAGTATATACCCAAAGGATTACAAATCATTCTACTATAAAGACACATGCACACATGTTTACCACAGCACTGTTCACAATAGCAAAGACTTGGAACCAACCCAAATGCCCATCAATGATAGACTGGATAAACAAAATGTGGCACATATACACCATGGAATACTATGCAGCCATAAAAAAGAATGAGTTCATGTCCTTTGCAGGGACATGAAGCTGGACACCATTATTCTCAGCAAACTAACAGGAACTGAAAACCAAACACCGCATGTTCTCATTCATAAATGGAAGTTGAACAATGAGAACACATGGACACAGGAAGGGGAACATCACACCAGGACCTGTTGAGGGGGTAGGGGGCTAGGAGAGGGATAGCATTAGGAGAAACACCTACTGTAGATGACGGGTTGATAGGTGCAGGAAACCATCATGGCATGTGTATACCTATGTAACAAACCTGCACATTCTGCACTTGTATCTCAGAACTTAAAATTTTTAAAAATCAGCTCTCGTGAGATTTATTCACTATCACAAGAATAGCATGGGAAAGACCTGCCCCATGATTCAGTTAAGACGGCAGATTTAAATCAAACTATATCATTATCCATTAAATGTAAATGTAAATGATCTAAACACCAATTAAAAGACAGAGATAATTACAAAGGATAAAAAAACAAGACCTAACTATACACTGTCTACAAGAAACTTATATTAAATAGGAAGACACAGTTAACCTAGTAAGTAAAAAGGATAGAAAATGGCCTCTTTTAAGACAATAAGACTAAAGAAAATGGCTGTTGACATAGTTTTGATTCACAAGTTGTCACAATTCAGGAAATATTTTTATATTCAAGAGTCCTTTTCAATCCTTGAGATCTAAGTAAATATTAATACTGCCTTATACTCTTCATAATAAAAGTCACCATATGTGTTCACACATCATCATTTTGATCATCTCAGCAGTATCTCTAAAACCAGCAAATTAAAGATTTCAAAAGAAATTCTCAAGTGAGCTAAGAGATTAGCAATCTGTTCTGATCAATAAATAACCATAATGTTCTTAAAGATATACATACTCAAAATGTTACCTCTACATAGTGTGTGATTTTACTAAAATACTGTCTATTAAAACAACAAAGTCTGAGCCAGATGACAGAAACAAAATGTAACCACATCTCATCACATCCCTTTCCTTTGCAAAGGAACTGAGGACTAAAAAATGAACATATTACACTTACGAGAGAGAAGTATGCTAGGGAAAGAGTGGGAATATATGATTGTGAAATGTCACACTATGCTGGAAATTACACCTGTAGAATGTGTGCCCTATCTTCTCAATTTTCTAAATGTAAACTGGTATTTCACCTAGGTTGTCAGGTTTATATACGCAGTGTTTCACATCCTTCCATTATACTTTTGATCTCTGTGACACCCTGCATTTCACTCCTGCTACGGATAATCTGTCTTCTTACCAGTCTAGCTAAAGGTCTGTCAATTTTATTAACATTCTTAAAGAACCAATATTTTGTTTCCTTCATTTTCTCTATCTTTTCTGTTACCAATTTCATTGATTTTTGCTCTTATCTTTATTGTTTCCTTCCTTCCACTTGCTCTGGTTTTATTTTGCCATTCTTTTTATAGATTTTTGAAGTGGAAGCTTAGATTGTCCATTTGAGACTTTTCCTGTTTTCTAATGTATGTATTTCATTCAATAAATTTCCCTTTGAAATATCTGCAGACTCAGAAAAAGAATAAGATATGACCCCAAGTTTGGAAATAAATAGCAGAAACTTTAAAGATGACCAAATGGGAAACAGAACAATTTACCGAGAAAAGAAAATTCTACAAGGTAAGATACAGAAAATATTCAAACTCAGCTGAAACTCCTCAAAACAAAATGACTTAGACTGAATGACTTTAAGTAAATAACCATCTAGTAAGCCACAGATGGCTTACTAGATAAGGAGAGAAAACCCCGCATGTGGAATATAACCCACTAAATCTGCATTACAGACAATGCAAAACAGGGAGCGGGCAATGCAGCTAGGGCATGAAGAGTTAACAGAACCACATTTTTCCAGTTAGTAGTCTTAGATGAACTTCTTTACTACCCAACCAATTTCACAAATTCCTACATACTACCTAACAGGAGCTGAGGCTGGGCATATGTGAAGGATAAGAATACAACTGTCATGATTTCATTTCTGCAGGTTGCCCCACCCCATGGAGAAATACTAATTTTTAGCATAATATATGGAAGAATAAAATATCTTCTTCTTACCCTCTGAGCTTTTGCAAGTTCTTCTTTTAGTCGTTCATAGCCCTTTTCTCTAACTTCCAAAACAGATGGGCTTCGTAAACGAGACAAACTATCAGTACTCAACCCAAAAATATCATCGCTGCCATCGCAAACCTCTGTTATAGTAGCACCCTGTAAAAACTCTCTCTCTGCATTATAGTTGTCCTTTCTTGTAGATAATTTAGTTAACCCAACTGTGACTCCAGAGGTAGAACAAGGTGCTGGGTCTGTAACATGAAAGCTGTAAAGGAAAGAAACATTTTTCAGAAAATACCAGCATATGCTCAAATAGAACTGTCTTACGCATATAGCTCTAGACTGTACTACCCAATTTGGCAGTCTCTATATTTAAATAAATAGTATGTCCTCAGTCATATCAGCCACATTTCAAGTGTTCAACAGCTACATGTGGTTAATGCCTATCATTCACATTAGATAGCACAGAAATAGAACATTTTCATCAACAAAGAAAGTTCTACAGGACATGCTACTCAAGAACAGGGGTTAACAAACTACAGCCTACAGGCTAAACCAAGCCTTCCACCTGTTTTTATAAGGCATCAATGAGCCAAGTATACTTTTTACAATTTCAAATAGTTGAAATCTTTAAAAGAATATTTTGCAACACATGAAAACTAAATGACATTCAAAATTCTGCATCCATATATAAAGTTTTATTGGAGCACAGCCACTCTCATTCATTTACATACTGCCTATGGATGCTTTCAAACTCTAAAGGCAGAGTTGAATAGCTGCAACAGAGGCTGTATGGCTTGCAAAGCCTAAAATATTTACTATGTGGTCCTTCACATAAAAAGTTTGTCAACCTCTATTCTAGAACATTATCATGTATTTCTTTACATAGGTACACTTATTTAAATTTTCTAAAAATAGTAAAACTTAAAATACAGTAACTCAGCAAACTGTCCGTTTAAAAAAATAATAAACCAAAATAAGTGATTTAATTATTTCTTACCTGATACTAGATATTTCCGCACAATTTAAACGTCTGGGGGATGAATACACGGGTTGTGTGGGAAGTTCAGAAACATCTAACGCATTTGCCTGGATAGGTACAGAGCATAAAGCTGAAGGGTGTGGCCGGTAGATGACACTTGGTGAGGTAGTCTGCTCTTGAGTTCCTGATTCATACACACCAAGAAGGTCCGGAGAAGTAGGTGAAGCAAGGTTTACTTCATGGAAGCCTTCCAAGGGATCATTAGCCATAGCAAAAGCCTCATCATAAGATAACCTATGTTAAAACAAAAAGCAGATACTTACTTTTAGACAACATTTAAAACTAAATTAAAATGTATAAATTATAAAATGTATTTAAGAGCTCATCACAAATTATAAGCTTACAATAAGAGACTTTTTAAAAAAACACAATCACATGGTGGTATATGCCTGTAGTACCAGCTACTCGGGAAGATGAGGTGGGAGTATTGCTTGAGCCCAGATGGAGGCTGCAGTGAGCCATGATCACAACCCTGCACTCCAGCTGGGTGACAGAGCAAGACCTTGTCCTCCCAAAAAAAACACAAACAAAAACAAAACACCATAATGACTTAACATTAACTAAATGATCTCAGAGTATAACTACTATAAAAGGCAAATAATCTGATTTAGAAGAAACCTGGAAGTGAAAAGTAATGCTATTAATGTGAGAAAAATCAATTAATATGAGGAATAAAATTTGCTTAACTAAAAAAAATTTTTTTAATTATTAAATGTTCATATTAAATTCTCTCATTGAGTATGCTATTTATGAAAATATAACAAAATCTAACGGTATTATGTAATCTTAGACTCAATAACAATTATCATATTATGCTGTAAAACTCTTAAAACAATTTTTTTTTAACAGAAAACACTGTATTTATCATGTACAACATGTTTGAAGGTACATATACACTGTGAAATTGGCTAACACTACTTAATTAAGAAATACATTACCTCACGCCATTATTTTAGGATGAGAACACTCAACATCCAATCTGCATTTTTCAAGAATTTACAATAAATCGACATGAACTATAGTCATCCTGCTGTACCATAGATCTCTTGAATTTATATTTAATTTTATTATTATACATGACCTTGGTTACAGTAAGTAGAAAGGCAGTAAAGACACACACATACTCTCTCATACTTGTCACCCAGATTATAACACTTAATATTTTTGAGGCATTTGAGAATGTTTCAGACATGATGCCCACTTAATATCTCAGTGTATACATATACACAGTGTGTGTGTGTGTGTGTGTGTGTGTGTGTGTGTGTGTCTGTGTGTATCTAAGTACAAGGACATTCTCCTATCTAACCACAAAATCATCATCAAAATCTGGAAATTAATGTTGATCAAAATTAGTAATTAATCAATAGGCCCCATTCAAATTTCACTAATTGGTCCAACAATATCATTTATATGTACAGGATCCAATCCTGGATCATGTGTTTCATTTCTATAAGTTTTAAATTTCTCCTCTGATGGTCTTAGAATGGGGATAATCCTAGTCACTCCCCTGTCCTGGTTGCTGTGAAGATTAAAGGAGACAATCCATGTATAGTATTTTGTAAAATACTATGTACCTGGCACAGAGTCTGTCCTCAATAAACTTGAATTATTATAAAACAGTCATTAACAATACTACATATGCTTCAGCTTCTCCATTAAGCAAAAAAAAAAAGTTCATGTAACTATTCAACTACATCACATTTTACATGTAAACAAACAAGTGTACCACTCAAGTTTTTCCTTTGAAGAATTCAAAGCCAAATGACATATAAATTCTTCACTGATTTTCCACTGTCTGCTGAATACAGATCAAACTTCTTAGCCTAAAAAGTAAGGTCTTCTAGGATCTGAACCCAATCAATCTCTCTTTCCAATTTTTTCCTTCCTATGATAGTACTTTGACAGTTGTGAATGATACTTTCCTGGAACTTAAAAAATGCCAAACAGGCCAGGCTTGGTGACTCACACCTGTAATCCCAGCACTTTGGGAGGCCAAGGCAGGAGGATTACTTGAGGTCAGAAGTTCAAGACCAGCCTGGCCAACAAGGCGAAACCCCATCTCTACTAAAAATACAAAAATTAGCTAGGCATGGTGGTGCACACCTGTAGTCCCAGCTACTTGGGAGGCTGAGGCAGGAGAATCATTTGAACCCAGAAGGCAGAGGTTGCAGTGAGCCCAGATCATGCCACTGCACTTCAGCCTGGGTGACAGACTGAGATTCTGTCAAAAAAAAAAAAAGGCAAACAAAACCACTAATACAGCACATCATTTCTTCCATAAAATACAGAAGTATTCATTTGTTAAACTAGCTAAAAAATTTAACTCTCAAATCTTTAATAAAAAGTGCTAAAAATAATACAAGTACTATAATCCCAGCACTTTGGGAGGCTGTGGTAGGTGGATCATGAGGTCAAGAGACCAAGACCATCCTGGCTAACACAGTAAAACCTGGTTTCTACTAAAAATACAAAAAATTAGCTGGGCGTGGTGGTGTATGCCTGTAGTTCCAGCTACTCAGGAGGCTAAGGCAGGCAGGAGAAGCACTTGAACCCAGGAGGTCGAGGTTTCAGTGAGTTAAGATTGGGCCACTGCAATCCAGCCTGGGTGACAGAGCAAGACTCCGTCTCAATAATAATAATAATAATACAAGCAAAGAACAAAAAGATTTCAGTAAAGTTGGAAGACAACTGACTCAGTATCATTTCAAAATTACAAATTAGTATGTGTCACAGACTTTCCAGCATATAGACAACCCAAAATGCAACAATTCAATCAACAAATGACAAATTTCAAATCCAGTGAACTGTTTATTAATAGTAAATGGTTTATGCCTCAAAATGAAACTAGTCCTTGTTTTTTTCACATAAAATATTCACGATGTCAAATGAAAGATGAGATTAATAAGGAATGTAAGGTGTTTAATATTCACCTACATTAAATAAATGTATTATTTTTTCACCCGAAAGAATTTTCATTTATTCATAATCCATATAACCACATACACCAAGAAAACAGCTATATTCAAAGTACATGATTCATTTTCACTTGAATATAGTTCAAGCAAGTACACTAACCAATTCATTAGCATAAAAATCCCTTGTATTATGTTTAAACTTTGATATTTTAATCAGTAACTATGATTCTTTCTTCTATCCCATATACTTTGAATTCACCTCTCTATATCCTGAAGGTTCACTGAATCATAAAATGTAAAAGCATTTGCATTCTGGAAAAACAAAATAGTATAAATCTTATGGAGGAAAATTTAGCAATAACTGTAAATGATATTAAACCTGTGACCCAAATGCCACTCCTGGGTCTTTATCCTAAAGATAAACTGGCAAAATGAAAAGCAGCACTCTTTGTAACAGCAAAAGACTGACTTAATGAGTGAGGGTACATCCTCATAATGAAGTACTGCAGAGTTGTAAAATACATGTCCATGTATCACTATGAAGTGACCTTGAAGATATACCAAAAATTAGCTGGGCATGGTGGTGCACGCCTGTAACACCAGTAAGTTAAAAAACAGGTAACTGTGTATAGTATACTACCTTTTATCTTAAAAAGAATAAAAATATGTATTTATATGCACGTGTGTGTGTGTGTGTATGTGTGTGTTTTAATGGAAGGGCTGGGTTCAGTGGATCACACTTGTAATCCCAAAACCTTGACCCACAGAGGCAGGAGGATAGCTTGCGGCCAAGTTAAAGACCAGTCTGGGCAACATAGTGAGACCTTGTCTCTACAGAAAGTTTTAAAATTAGCTGGGTATGATTGTGCAGTCTTGCAGTCCTAGCCTCCTGGGAGGCTAAGATGACAGGATGGCTTGAGCCGAGGAATCTGAGGTTACAGTGAACTCTGATCGTACCACTGCACTCCAACCCAGGTGACAGAGCAAGACCCTGTCTCAAAAAAAAAAAAAAAAAAAAAAAAAGCAGGCAAAAGAAGAGATAATAGTGAAAACATGAAAGTTAGACTTTCTTCTGAAAACACCTTGCTTTACAGATTTGATTTTGAGCTTAGAACAATGTAAACAATAAAACAAAATTAAAGTTTCAAAAATAATCCCTAAACATAAAGCAAGTAAATTTGTGTACTGAGATGGTTGCTTAATGACACAGAAAAGAACTACTTCAAGTGATTTTCAAACATAACAATATAAATATATATCCCTAATGGAATGTACTCTAAAACCAAAAGGAAGTGAAAAAAGTCATAAACTATTTTCAATGTTAATAACAGTAGCAATATTAATACTATTATTATAAAATTTTGTTATAAGATAAAGCAAGTAAGTTATGCTAATGTCATCTGGAACTAAGATTTTCAGCAAATTAGAAAAATCAAAAAAATATAAAATCAAAGAATTAAATCCTGGAAGCCTAAATTTGACTCAGAAACACTAGAAAAAAAATTCTAACTTTATCCAATGAAAAGGCACAGCAACACTTACCAATTCAGGAGCAAGGAGCACCCATGTACTCAGAGTAATACCACATCCTCCAAAAAAGAACACAGGCTCCTAGGGAATATGGCTGATTCTAGCCTGAGACAGGAATGTACAAAAGGACCCTGGAACATCTTGTTATAGCAGAAAGCAAGTACACTATCAAAAACTACTGGACTGATATCAAAAGGACTCCCACTAACCAAAGATGGGACAATCTGAACATCAAAAAGGATAATATCTGCAAAGAAATGAAAGGCAAAAATTTTTAAATCCATGAGGTCAAAATGACACTAAAAATAAAGCAAAGTACCTCAGTGGCCTTCTTTGATCAATGCTATGGAACCAATTCATTATTTTCAAAATAGGTAAATAAAATGAAGAATGAAGTATTTATCTTGTTTTCCTGTACATCAAGGAACTGAACAGCTCATGAAAAAAAAAGTTCATTTTAAAAGTTCCATTTAATAAATATAACTTTGGAATCTTAATGAAATAATGGATTTAGGGTAATAACTATTTAAATAACTATTAAAACCACAAGGTAAAAGGTTTTGTTTGAGGAACTTTAATGAATCAGAATGACAGCACCTGAATTCACTGATCACATCTTGTCACAAAAAGGGAGACAATCAGACATTATGTATATATGCAGTAAATAAGAAATGAACATCACTGACATTAATTTTTTTTTTTTGAGAGGAAATACATCTTTATTATGTCAGTTTAAGCCCTGCGCCATCCCACCCTGGTGTCATCTGTGCAGCAGGCTCCCCTGCACAC